ATTTGAAGGATTTGCCCACACAAACAAAAATACATGGGATCCCCCAAAGGTCATACCAGGCCCTTCAGGTCTGCTATGGATTTTAATGGGGAACCCTATGTAAAAAAAAAAAAAAACATGTGGGGGCCAGCCCAAATCCATCACAAGTTCCTTATCAGTCTGTGATACAATACCAGGCCAAATGCCATCAACATGGTGAGGTGCCTATGTTGATGAGGACAATTGCCTCTTTCCCACAAACCTGCCTGGTGTTTGTGGGGGTCTGCACCTGCGGGGCTAATCAGAATCTGAAAGCCCCCCTTAAATATAAAAGAGGCCCCCAGATGCCACCCCTCTATGTGAATGAGAAAGGGGTAGATAGTACTCATGCATAAAGAAAAACAAAAGTGTAAATGTCAACATTCAGACATTTGACATGTCCTGTATTAATAAAAACAAAAGTCCCATGCTGCACATCGTTTATCTGTCACATCCTCCAGTGATGCAGATCCTCATTAATCATGATAAACAATGCCCTCTGAGCACTGAAAGCAAAATCCTGCTGACCGATGGACATGTCTGCACCCCATGGGAGAGTGTGTAGTCTATAGCAGGACCTCTACGTTATAAAATAATCAAATATATATGCTAATGGTTTTTAGGGGCAACAATAAGCTTTTCTTAGTTCTCATTTTTCTTATTATAATAATCAAACGTCTAACTTCTCAGGTTTTTATCATAGCTATCTTATCCTCATATAACCTTAGAAAAGAGGAAGGAGGTTTATGTACGGCTCTGTATCACTGTGTGAGAGGAAACCACCCTGTCTGCTGACAGTAATAACTTCCTTCATCATCTTCCGTCACTGCTTTAATAGTTAACTTGTATTCAGTTCCAGATCCTGAACCACTGAACCTGTCTGAGATCCCAGAATGCAGAGTGCTGGCATAATAGATAAGAAGCTTTGGAGGTTGGTGGGGCTTCTGTTGGTACCAGGCTAGGTAGCTTTTACCACCACTAGTTAAGGTGCTGCTAGATGTACATGTGATGGTGGCTGCCTGTCCCGGGGACACAGGGATATAATCCGGAGTCTGAGTCATCACATACTGTCCACAGGATCCTAGGATGGGAAGAGACATATTGATTATTGATAAATGTCTGTATATCTTCCTATCAATCCTGATGTGTGTATTTATTGTACAATGTATAGATGTATGTGCAGAGGATGATGGAAGGAGCCTCATCTCTCACCCTGAATAGAAATGAAGATGACGGCCAGCAGATAACTGTGAGAAAGCATCTTGATGTTTGTGGAGTGTCAGATACAAAGTAGAAGACGTCTCCTGTACAATGAGATATATAGAGAGAGTGACAGGGGAGATGTTACACCCAACACACTGTGTATGCAAATACCGGGGAGATGGAAATTCTGTGGTTGGCTGTCACCTGTAATATAAATAGAGGTTCAGTTGTGTGCAGAGAACCATTCCAAGAGTTTGGTACAGATTATTAATATAGATTAAAGCAAACTAAGAATATGAGCTATATCGAAGTTTTCCTAAACAATGTGCATTAACACATAGGTAAATGTGCTTTGCAGTGACATTTACAATGAATTGCACCCCAAAAAATATATGTATGCATTACAGTAGAATGCACCTACACTATAACAAACCACGATGCACCAATTGTTAACTGTGCTGCTCTGCAGAAAACAAATTGTAAATGAGGATGAATGGTCTGACTTAACACAGCACGTCTAAATGCACAATACCAGTGTCTCAATGCATGACCGTAACTTGGTAAAGAAGGCTTAACCACACATGTGACAGCAAACCTTCTAATGTGGAGGTATATGCAGACCTTGGCCACAAAGTCTATAAAAATTCCCCCACATACAAAAAATCATTACACACCCAATTATCTCATATTGTATCCCTTTTTAGAACTGCACGCCTTACTCACAAACCTCACAGCCATTTACTAGCCTTTCTATTTACCCCATTGTGACATTGAGCCCCCTGTCGTCTTTGCACTTGATTAGGACTACAAATGCCCCCCCCCC